CCCCCCCCTCCTCACTGATGTAGCCCCGTCCAAGTCCCCGTCCAGTCAGTCCGTCCGTCCTGCCCGGCAGTCCTGGGAGTCCCTCTTACCCCGGAAGCAATATTCCGTCATCCGCCATCAAACCAGCGGGCAACCTACCTGCATCCATACCTACCTTACCTACTCACCTACCTAAGCAGTCCAGTCTGGTCTAGTCCCCCCGTTGGGTCACAGCCGCAGTCACAGGTCAGGTCCAGCCAGCCCAGCCGTGTCCCGTCCTTTTTTCTTCGCTACTAGAAAGGACCAGACCCCTCTTTCCTCACACATTATTATTTTTTTTTGCCCATTAAACAACAGCAACCTTCGTGGAAACGAACTGTTCCCGAATTTTCCCAAAGGCAATTTTTCGCGAAAAGGTGAGTTTCGCCCTCGATTGTACCTGCATCCATCGCATCAGCATTGCTCCTGGCACCTCTCTGTCCTTGTCTCCCTCTGTCTCTCTCTCTGTCCCTCTCTCTCTACCTTTTCCCTCAATCTACCCCTCGTCTTGCCTTCCCTGCGCACCAGCCCAGCGTGCCTTCGCAAACGTCTCTTTCCGCCACCCAATGCGACACGGTCGACGAGGGCCAGCCTGCCACAGCAGCATTCGCCATCAGCCTCACCAGAATGCGCCCACCCAATGCAACGGAAACGATCACGACAGTCCTGACGCATCTCATCTCTCTGCCTCCCCGCGAAACTTGGGAGACTGCCACACTGAAGATGCGATCGCTTCTTGACCCCGCACGCATTGCGCATCTCGCTATGCGACCCGTGGAAATGCGCCAACCCCGCCTGTTGCTTTGGTCTCTGGCCCACCACTACTTTTGACGACCGCAATCCTCGTCTTCTTGCCAAGACACCCGTTCTGCCGGGTTTGCGCGTCAAGCTGCGATCCCAACTTCACAGACCGCGGTCTCTGGAGCCTACCTGATGCTACATTGATCCGATGGTCCACCGGACTCAATTGGTTCTTGATATCGCTGCGCTGCGACTTTTGCGTTACTCCTGCGCGCCACCTCAGTCCCCCACACTCGATCTCGCCACGATGCGCCTCCTCCCGAAAAGCCCTCGGTGGATCACTTGCGATAATCCCTCAATCGTAAGCCGGCAACAAACAGCGCCAGACCACGATGAGACCGAAGCCTGCGTCATTTGCGCCCTTGCGTTCGCAGGTTCACTCCCAACAGCATCCTTCGCATTGGCAAAGATCCCTTTCTTTGCGCGCGTCTACCACAAACCAAGTCCTGGGTGATTGGCATGGGTCTACTCAAGCAAATCTATAAAGAAAATGGACGGAACGAGGCATCAGAGACTCGCGTGTCATCGCTGCCCAAGATCTGAGCTCCCAGCGCAACCGTGTACCCTGTTGCCGGATATTTCAGCCGAAGAGGATTGCACAGGGACCTTGGAGACGAATACTTCCGCTGCAACACCAACCGACAAGCTGGATTTCCTCAATAAACCGCTACAACGAGCACAAATCTAGTCACGAGTAAATCGACTAACCTTCCTTCTCTGACAGCTTCATACCAGACTGCAAGATGTCTTCCCTTTCCCGTCGCGCGTGCTACAAGTGCGGCAATGTTGGCCACTACGCTGAGGTTTGCTCGTCAGCTGAGCGTCTTTGCTACAACTGTGAGTTCTATCCCCAAAGATCGGTCAATGTTGGAATAATTGCTGACTCCCAATGCCAGGCAAGCAACCCGGCCATGAGTCCAACGGCTGCCCGCTGCCCCGCACCACCGAGGCCAAGCAGTGCTACCATTGCCAGGGCCTCGGTCACGTCCAGGCCGACTGCCCTACCCTGCGATTGAGCGGCGCTGGCACCAGCGGCCGCTGCTATAACTGCGGCCAGCCCGGCCACCTCGCTGTAAGCAACTTTGCGTAATCGCCGTCGACGAGAAGCTGACGTTAAAACAAAGCGTGCCTGCCCCAACCCTGCCGGCGTCGGCATCGGACGTGGCGCCCCCGTTCCCCGTGGTGCTTTCGGCGGCTACGGACGTGGCGGTTTCGCTGGTGGTCCCCGCCCCGCTACCTGCTACAAGTGCGGAGGTCCTAACCACTTCGCGAGGGATTGCCAGGCTCAGGCCATGAAGTGCTACGCTTGTGGCAAGCTCGGCCACATCTCTCGTGACTGCACCGCGCCCAACGGCGGTCCTTTG